CCGAAACTTTTTCATCCATCGAGGCACAAAATGTCAATTTACGCCTATAATACACGTGCACGCGTGCGTGCAACCATACCCGCGTGTGCGCGCCCTGTCGCGTGTATGTGTGTATGTTTGTGTGACTGTAAAAACGCGTATTATAGCCGTATATCCACATTTTATGCTTTGGGGGGGTGAAAAAGTTCAAGTCGAAACACAGCCAGTTGGCTCGTGAAAATTGTTCATGCTTGACTAGTCGTGGGCGATATTATTTAGAGGAGGGGGGAGGAAAAAACTGAGGGGCACCATCATGATTGAGAAAATGCTATGTTGAATTTTGACATCGGGGCGTCATCTAGTGTGAAAAATAATTATAAAGCGCATATATGGAATAACCCAGATGGATATATTGCGAACGCGACAATTTGCCCCCCTTTCAAATGGTATCGCCCACAACCAGTCAAGCATGGAAAATCTTTGGCAGCAAAATGACCGGATTTCAGCCGAAACTTTTTCATCCATCGAGGCACAAAATGTCAGTTTACGCCTATAATACACGTGCACGCGTGCGTGCGACCATACCCGCGTGTGCGCGCCCGGTCGCGTGTATGTATGTGTGCTTGTGTCACTGTAAAAACGCGTATTATAGCCGTTAATCCACTTTTTGTGCAATGGGGGGGTGAAAAAGTTCATGTCGAAACACAGCCATCTGGCTCGTGAACATTTTTCATGCTTGACTGGTCGTGGGCGATACAATTTGGAGGAGGGGGGAGGAAACGACTGAGGGGAAGGGAGAGAGAGCTGCGCGTGCGTGCGTGCGGTGGGTGTGTGCGCGCAGGTGTGTGGGTGCGTGCGAGCATGTGCATTTTTGTCTGCGCGTGTGTGTATTTAACCGATAAGAGGCAGAAGGAAAGAGGAAAGAAAAGAGAGAGGGGTTAAGGTAGGGAGGAATGCAGAGGGAGATGCGTACACGCACGCACGCATGACAAGGGGGGTATACAACGCAATTGGGTAGCTAACGCCGGCGCCCACAATATAAAAAAACGACATGTCTTTATACACGTTTTACTTTTAATACGTTTGCCTTTACACAAGTTGTATAAGAAAAGCAAAAATCGAAGAGGGATTCGAACCCCGATTTTAATAGATTGCAGTTTAGCGTTCTAACCACTGTACTAACAACACATACGAATAGAGTAAGGTCGTTTAACATAAATGAATACGTCATTACGTACATCACTTCCTTACTCCCCTCTCGCTGATGGTATCGCCCAGAACCAGTCAAGCATGGAAAAACTTTGGCAGCAAAATGACCGTATTTCAGCCGAAACTTTTTCATCCATCGAGGCACAAAATGTCAATTTACGCCTATAATACACGTGCACGCGTGCGTGCAACCATACCCGCGTGTGCGCGCCCGGTCGCCTGCATGTATGTGTGCTTGTGTGACTGTAAAAACGCGTATTATAGCTGTATATCCACATTTTATGCTTTGGGGGGGTGAAAAAGTTCAAGTCGAAACACAGCCAGTTGGCTCGTGAAAATTTTTCATGCTTGACTAGTCGTGGGCGATATTATTTGGAGGAGGGGGGAGGAAAAAACTGAGGGGCACCATCATGATTGAGAAAATGCTATGTTGAATTTTGACATCGGGGCGCCATCTAGTGTGAAAAATAATTATAAAGCGCATATATGGAATAACCCAGATGGATATATTACGAACGCGACAATTTGCCCCCCTTTCAAATGGTATCGCCCACAACCATTCAAGCATGGAAAATCTTTGGCAGGAAAATGACCGGATTTCAACCGAAACTTTTTCATCCATCGAGGCACAAAATGTAAATTTACGCCTATAATACACGCGCACGCGTGCGTGCGACCATACCCGCGTGTGCGCGCCCGGTCGCGTGTATGTATGTGTGTTTGTGTGACTGTAAAAACGCGTATTATAGCCGTTAATCCACTTTTTGTGCAATGGGGGGGTGAAAAAGTTTATGTCGAAACGCAGCCATCTGGCTCGTGAAAATTTTTCATGCTTGACTGGTCGTGGGCGATAGAATTTGGAGGAGGGGGGAGGAAAAGACTGAGGGGAAGGGAGAGAGAGCTGCGCGTGCGTGCGTGCGGTGGGTGTGTGCGCGCAGGTGTGTGGGTGCTTGCGAGCGTGTGCATTTTTGTCTGCGCGTGTGTATATTTAACCAGGACCGATAAGAGGCAGAAGGAAAGAGGAGAGAAAAGAGAGAGGGGTTAAGGCAGGGAGGAATGCAGAGGGAGATGCGTACACGCACGCACGCATACGGCCACTCTCTCTCTGCGCAATTTTTCTCTATTTCTCGGGCGCTTATATATAATATACTCTTCTCTCCTCCGTTTTTCCTCTTCGCTCACTCCCGCTCTATCGCATGATAAGCCTTACGACAACGATAGCACGGTAAACCTTAACCAGGCAAATGGCCGTATTGAGCTAAAACATTTCTACCCCCTCCAAAGCGCCCTAATAACTGCACAATAAAACCAAAGACACAAACAAACTTTATTTACCACCGACTTAATTTTTCCTTTCTTTGTAAGTGTATAGTACAAGCACTCAGATATATAATTGCAGGAGTAGATAATAGGTAGGCAGGGTAGATAGGATAGTATTATCTACTCTGATAATTGTATACGCTGACGAGATGCGGATTGTAAATGGAGACAGAATGAGAGCAGCCCACCTTCTATCCACCGTCCTTCGACTACACGTCAAACACGCACATGCAAACGTAAAGCTTGTTTAATTAACATGCCCTTACAGAGTATGTACAATAATGAATACCTATGTTGTCAAGTGGTTCTACACTTATTCTTAGCTTTATGAATGTAAGCAGGCTTACATATGTGAGTTCATGATTTCAAAAAAACTTTCCTTGTTGAAAAAATAATAGAATTTAACGTGAGCATAACAACTGACAAGGCAAGACAACTAAATCAAACCTCATCGATGCGATGCTGTCTTAATGCTGTCGCAATATACAACAACCTGTCCTTCCAATTATCTTTGCGTTATACATGCCATGACTTACACAAAACTTTAACTGAAGTCCCGAGAAGTGATAATTGTCAACTGTCACCAGTTGCAAAGCTGCACCGATCGCATATCAAGAATAAGCAATACACTGAGAACAGTGCTAAATTCTATTGCTACAACAAACAAACAACATATGCTTTGTTGAAGTAACAGCGAAAAGCAGAGAGCACAGCAAGAGATGGATAACGTTAGGTTAGATGAATAAACA